CAACATGCAGTGATAATGATGGAATTTAGGGAACTCAGCGTCATTATTACACCTCGCAATTAAACCTTTCGTGCAACCAGTCATGTTCGCAGCACCATCCGAGGTGATAGCTACTAATTTGTGAAGTGGCACTTTCGCGGAAATGAAACTTTGCTTCAGAGCATCAAAAATGACTTCACCCTTCGTACTCGTTTTTAAGGAAAATAATGTAAATAACTCTTCATGACGACTTGAGCACAATCGGATCTATCCGTAAATTCATCTAATTGAAAGGAAAAAAAAAACAACGAGCAAAGTCATCTGTTAATTGAGCCCGGAGGTCAGCACCGATTGCTTCAATTCTTCGCATTATTGTACGTCTCGATAATGGTAAATTTTCAACAAATCTTTTCATTCTCTTGTCCAACAAAGTTCCTCGGAATAACGTATCCATATGGGTTACAAAAAGCTCTTTAGATTTTTCACTGGTAGTAAATGACGATTTGTCTTGCGCGATTTTAAGGCGGCTTGAAATGACATTAAATTCGCGGTTTGAAGGTCATCATTACACAAAACATCATTTGAATGTTCGGACGCTAAAATTCTCTCTTTAAAAACCTGGATTTCGTTAACGCGATCGTCCGAATGAAGTGGAAAACTCAAATCGAAGCTACTATGATTGTGCCTATAATGCCTCTCAATGTTAAAGGACCTCATGCTTTTAAATTGCAAATGACACAATAAACATAGAACCTTTTCACCGATTTTGCTTTAGCTCGCGCTAATGACTCTAGGGGGAAAGTCATGTCAAAAGCTGCATGCTTGCTTTTGTAATGTCTCTCCACATTGAATCTCCGCATGCAGGTAAATTCGCATTCGCACAATAAACACAATGTTCTCTCACCAATTCTCGTACATGCAAAACGAAGTTCCCAGTCAATGTCAGGCTCATGGCTTTTAAACCTTTTCATGGGAGGCTCCATGGCACAAATATGTAAACAATTGACACTATGATAAAATCACTCTGCACAATCACTAACTATTTCAAGCAGATGATCTGCACTGCGACTTGGTAACTAAA